CAGAGTTTAGTGCACGAGCTAAACAGTCTACTACTTCCGGTAGACCGAAGAGAGCGACTGCAGGAGTACCTCCACAGAGGTATGGCTTCGAGGACATGGTGGCGTATTCATTTCAGGTTGCTGAAGAAGTGGATGCAGGAGAGCCACAGTCTTATAGAGAAGCAGTTTCGGGTGGTGAAGCTGATCAGTGGCTTGCCGCAATGGGAGATGAGATGGAATCCCATGACAGGAATCCCACTTGGGAGCTAGTCAAACGACCACAGGGAAGGAAGATTGTTACAAACAAGTGGATCTACAAGAAGAAGGAAGGAATCACTTCTAAAGAGGGCATGAAATTTAAAGCTCGGGTGGTTGCACGAGGCTTCTCGCAGAGGGAAGGAGTTGACTACAATGAGATTTTCTCACCAGTGGTCAGACATACTTCGATCAGAGTGCTACTAGCAATAGTCGCACATTATGACTTGGAGCTCGAGCAGCTAGACGCGAAGACAACTTTCCTGCATGGAGAGTTGGAAGAAGAAATTTACATGACTCGGCCAGAAGGATTTGAGGTTCCGGGAAAAGAAGACTATGTTTGTAAGCTGAAGAAGTCATTGTATGGACTTAAGCAATCTCCGAGGCAGTGGTACAAGAGATTTGACAGTTACATGCTTGAGCTGGGCTACAACAGAAGTCCATATGATTGTTGTGTATATCACAGCAAGGCAGAGGATGGTTCGATGATATATCTAGTTCTGTATGTGGATGATATGCTCATAGCTGCGAGGTCAAAGTCTGATATCCAGAAGTTAAAGGGGCTTCTCAGTGCTGAGTTTGAGATGAAGGATTTGGGAGTTGCTCAGAAGATCTTGGGTATGGAGATTTACAGGGACAGGTCGAAGAAGAAGCTTTTCTTGTCACAGAAGAGCTACATCCAGAAGATACTGTCGAGTTTTGGCATGTCTTCAGCAAAGCCCTTAAATACTCCTAGTGCTTTAAATGTTCATCTATCCTCAGCGTATGCACCACAGTCAGAGGCTGAGAAGGAGTATGTGTCGAGAGTCCCATATGTTAGTGCAGTAGGTAGCTTGATGTACGCTATGGTATGCACTAGACCTGATCTTGCACATGTTGTTAGTGTTGTCAGCAGGTTTATGATACAACCTGGGAAGGAGCATTGGCAGGCTGTGAAGAGGATCTTCTGGTACCTTAAGGGTACACCTGATGTGGGGATTAGCTTCAGAAGTGATACAGAGTGCTTGGTGTCTGGGTACTCTGACTCAGACTATGCTGGAGATGTTGACACGAGGAGATCGATGACCGGTTATGTATTCACTCTTGTGAGTTCTGTAGTGAGCTGGAAGGCAACTTTGCAGTCAGCGGTGACATTGTCTACGACTGAGGCAGAGTATATGGCATTGACAGAAGCTGCTAAGGAGGGAATATGGTTGAAGGGACTGGTTGGTGATCTGGGTCTACATCATGATCAGGCAGTGGTGTATTGCGACAGTTTGAGTGCAATATGCTTGGCCAAGGATCAAGTCCACCATGAGAGGACTAAGCACATCGATGTGAGGTATCATTTCTTGAGGACAGAGAAGAGGATTAAGGTGAAGAAGGTTGGCACCGCGGATAATCCTGCTGATATGTTCACGAATCCGGTTCCACATGGCAAGTTCCAACACTACTTGGACTTGCTGAATGTCTTGAGTGGGTGACTCTGCCCTACGGGGCATTAATGGCGGGAGAGAGAGAAGGAGCAGAGTACATCAGAGATTTCAGAGGAAGAGGATTCAAGTCAAGGTGGAGATTTGTTGATGTGACTTGAATCGAACTATCAGCCGCTACGACTGGTAATCGGGGGTCTCGCTGGGCCTGGTCTGTAATCGTTTCCTTTGCCAGATTGGATTAGGTTTAGACCCACATGGAGAAGTACTATAAATACTTCTCATACTCCTCTGTAATCTGTAATCTTCTCGATATAGTGAAACTGGCTCTCTCTCGCCCGTGGACGTAGCTAACACACATCGTGTTAGTGAACCACATAAATCGTGTGTCGTTTTTTTCGATTCTCGCTTTCGTATTCTTGCTTTGTCGATTCCAGCGATTTTCCGATCCCTAGCAGCGCGTTTATAACAAGGGTTGATTTTCAGCTCTTTGTGGTGTTGAGGGATTGAGCTGCTTCAATTTGGAAGGACCGTTGTAGAAGGGTCTTTGGCGAAGCAACACGAAGTGCGACCACATTAGCCTTTCTTTTCAAGGAAGAAGTTCGATTATACATGTTGGGAAATCCAGATTTCTATGCACAAATTCAGTTAATAAAGTGGGTTAGAGTAGTAATAATCTGATATATTACATTTTCAATGGCTTCGGCCAAGGTACTTTTTTTCGAATTCTTGTGCTGATTTGGCAATGTGTTTAGGGTACCAATCAAGGTAGTTCGAGGCAAGTAATGACCACGACGACTATGCACGGAGTTGGTTTTAATGAGGAAAGATGTGTGACAAGATCTGCTAGGAGATACCAGTAGGTGCTCGCCAGACGACCTTCTTGCCAACTCTCACATCACATGACAGGTGATTAAAACGCCATTGATCTTCACCCACGTAAGAAGTTCCGTAGGCATTTGTTTGTCTAAAGACACATTGATCATAAAAAGAAAACAGTCTAAGTCTGGTAAACATGAACATCAAGAGATCTACTTATCCTTGTAAAAAAAAAACCCCCCTTGTCAAACCACCACCTTAAGACCGTACGTGCCGAACTTTCATCATCACTGCTTCCTTGTACTGTTTGATGGAGCAGCCAAGCTCACTAATTAATGGGTGGTGCTATGGGCTCACTTGAATTTGCATATATATGGTTGTCGACTTGCCGTTGTGATAGTATTTTCAGATCATTTCGCATGTGACGGAGTCTTGGCCGTCGGCGACACGATGAGTTGGTGTGGTTCCTACTTGCTGTTGAAGTTCAAGTTCTGCAATTATGACGACTTTCTTGTCCCACAACGGGTGCATAGCACGCCGGCGACCCTGCTGGTGCCCTTCCGACGAAAAATCCAACTTCTAGCTCTAGGAAGATTCTTTCATCAAGTCTCGTCGTTAGTGGGACAATTAGAAATTTATCCAACGTAGTGCCAATGTGACGTGTTTTCTTATTCTGAGAAGTTTCTAAAACAGATTGACCGGCGACCGTAACTATAACGGTACTAAGGTAGCGAAATTTCTTGTCGGGTAAGTTTCACTATGTAAATTATGACGAATGTTACTCTTAAGATAATCCATTGAATAATCATTCATGATTTCATTTAGGGGTGGCTATACGGTCCGGTCCGTTTAAACTGGCCCAAATTAATCGGTCCCGGTCCGATCTTTTTTGGGAATATGGAGACCAAAGATGGGATTGCATACAGTCCGATTTTGACCCGATCTGATCTTATCCGATCCCGGTCCCAACTGGTTTTGACTCGGACTAACCAAAGCAATAATACAAATATAATAATCGAATCAATGATGATCAAAACTAACATCTGAACATTTAAAGTTTCAAATGATGGGTTAATGGATTCAAGTAGCGTGTGAATCAATGATGATCAAAACTAACATCTGAACATTTAAAGTTTCAAATGATGGGTTAATGGATTCAAGTAGCGTGTGAGCACTCTTGTACATATTTTTTGGGATTCCGATTTCGGGTTAAACTGAAAAATCGGTACCAAATCGCCAGTCTTAATTTCATCACTCATTGTATTGTACATTGTTCAGCTCATTGAGTATTCTTTAAACACTTACAATGGCAACCTGTAACAACAGCCAACAGGCGCTAGTTTTGAGTTTTCATTTATATTAAACTCAATTACATAATTAAACTAATTAGAAGTTAAGTATAAGGTAAAAAAACATTGTTTTTTATATTTGTTTACAATAATAGGAAAATTTTGTGTTCAATCAACAATTACATTAAAAATTTACTACTACACCTTTTAGCCTAAGATAGTACAAAGTACCTCCCTTGGCCTTAAGTGGCGTCACAACTGCTCGTAATACTTACAAGTATAACAAACCTAGACATCTTGTATCACGACGGGTCAGGAATTTGACTATTACTTGATTGACTTGTATGAATTTTATTTCTTGTGGAATAGGATTTTTTTCCGAAGTATTGTAGTTTTATTAGAAATTCTCAATGTATACATGTTTTGTCCAAATTTCTTGAAGGACATTGATCGCTAGTAACCAAAACGATCATGAACAAATAGCTTCCGGCTAAAGCTATATTTATATCATCGCTTTAGTCGAAGCGATCAACATGCAGATCACTTGTGTCTAAAAACGATTTCACCTTATATACGTAAAAATATTAGACGACAATAACTTTGCGCTTGATTATGGGATAAAAAAAATGTTTCACATAATTTTTTGAAATCTTCACAGCCACAAACTGCCTGAAAAGGCAAAAACTACCAAAGGTTGGATCAACCCCCGACTTCAAATAAGGCCATTTGTTGCCACAAATTGCTCATTTTGTGATTTTGCATAACTTTAGAAGGTCTTAACTCATCATCAGGTCATCACCAAAATGTTTTTGGCATAACTTTTCAGGTAGTACACTTTTTATAGACATATTTGTAGAATATAAGTAGAAAGGTGAAAAATAAATCTAAAGTTTCTCAAACCTCTAAACTAAAAAAACATGCTCGCTTTGAAAAATTGATCTCTAGTAAAAATTATAGGCCTTGAAAAGTTTTGCAAAATAAAAAAATTGTGATGATCCAATGACAGAGCACAATGACCAGTGAGAGTTTAAGGCTACAAAGATCTTAACAAGTTATGCGAAATAAAATAAAAATTCGATTAGATAACCTATTGCAAATTTATTATATTTTAGTAGAAAATTGCATGTTAATAAAAAGTGATATATTCTTGATCGACTTTAGTCGGAAGCAATCAATATTTTGAAGATTACTTATAAAACTACTTACTTTATTGTAATTTGAAAAAACAATCATGTGGAATATCTTTATAAAAAAATCCTCCCAACAAAACTTTGATGCCATTGCCCATTGATGCTGATACTAATTATTTTATTTTAATGTGAAGTACGTGGAATCATCAGTACTCACACAAACACAAAAAAACATATGCGAATCAAACAACCATCGCTATTCATTTTCCTTTTTCCATTATTTTCCCGGCAACTGGGTCTCCTTTTCCCATTCCAAATAAGAAAAGGAAAGAAATGTTATTAAAAAAAAAAGGAAAGAAAGAAAGAGCTTCTTCTTGTTTTTCTCGCCACTGCTTTCTCCCCCCAATCACCTCATCCTATATTACCAGCTTTTCCCGGAGGTTCACTCTCTACTCTACTGAAGAAAAACCCAATAACGATTCCCACAAAAATCAGTGAAAAGAGAAGGAGAAAATGACCACAAAGCCCCACGCCGTTCTGGTGCCGTTCCCGGCGCAGGGCCACCTGAGCCCGTTCCTCCAGCTAGCCAAGCTCCTCCACTCCCGCGGATTCCACATCACCTACGTCAACAACGAGTTCAACCACAACCGCCTCCTCCAATCCAAGGGCGAGGACTTCGTCAACGGGCTCCCCGATTTCAAGTTCGTCTCTTTCCCCGACGGACTCCCTCCCTCCGACGAAGATGCGACCCAGAGCCTTGACGGGCTCAGCAGCGCGGCCCGCAAGACGATGTTGGGCCCGTTCAGGGAGCTGGTGGCGAAGCTCAACGCTTCCCCTGACTCGCCGCCGGTGAGCTGCATCATCCCCGATGGGTTCATGTGCTTCGGCCTCAAAGCCGCCGAGGAGTTGGGGATTCTCGGCGTCCCCTTTTGGACCGCTTCCGCTTGTGGGTTCAAGTCATATTTCCACTACGTTGAGCTCATTGAGAAAGGACTGATTCCTCACAAAAGTAAGCTTTCTAGTTAAACTTTTTCCTTTCTTTTTGGCTTTGATTGGAAACAGAGTACTCTGTTTTTCTTTTTTGCTTTGATTGGAAACAGAGTATTCTGTTTTTTTTTTTTTTGTCCTGGCTCCGATAACTTTCCTTCTGGGGTGATAACAAATGTACATCAGACCCTGCAAAATAAAACGCCCAGATCTTTGAGCTCAGTGCTTTAGATCTGAATACGGAAGTGGAATTGATTAGTTGGGTCCACAACCTTGAGAGACATTTTTACGGCTCAAGTACTATTCACCTTTTTTTATGACAGTGACATGGTATTGTAGATTAAGATAGATGAAAAATCTTGACTGGGTATAAACGAAACGTATATTATCTTAGTGATTAGTTACGATATGTGATTGACCCGGATTCAGTCACTTGTTCGATGATAGAAAGAGTAATATTTAGTGTATGTAGCAGTGTTATTAAAATCGAGTCGAGCCGCTCGGCCCGATGGGTAAAACCGTCACCCGATCGCAAAACCGGCTCAAAACAATTTAAAAGCTGCTTCGGTTTTATGTAGCGGTTGGTGAGCAGCCAAGACGGTTAATCGTTCGAGCCGATTGACCCGCTCGCGTCCGGTATTTGCCATTCAGCCACTAAATTTAATTAAAAAAATTGCAGAAAATTGAAAATTGAAATAAACCAAAATGTCGGCCTCTCAAACTGAATCCTTATTTCCATTTCACAATTTCGAAGGAAAGAGATGAGCTCTGATTAAGAAATGTCCACTATTTATACTGATAACGTTTATTAGGTACTGGTTCTCTAACGGTTTATAAACGGTCTAATGCCAGTTGGACCACTAAAGTGCGAGCCGTTCGCATTACTGGGTCATGCTCCGCGCTTCAGTTCTGCCAAACATTGGTTCACATAACTTGCTAATTGCGTGCAGGTGAGACATTCGAGACTGACGGCACACTAGAGACGCCAATCGACTGGATGCCGGGGCTAAGAGAGATGCGACTATACGACCTCCCTTACTCCACCCGTACCACCTCGCCGGACGAGATCCTGCTCAACTGCCTCCGCGACGAGACGCAGGAGTGCGTCAGGGCGGCGGCCATCATCATGAACACGTTCCACGACTTCGAGCAGGAGGTCCTTGACGCCATCAAGGCCATCAACCCGAACGTCTACTGCATCGGCCCGCTCAACCTCCTCGAAGCCCGCGTCCCGGCCCACGACACCTCGAGAGACTTGACCGTCAGCCTGTGGAAGGAAGACCCGAGGTGCTTCGAGTGGCTCGACAAGCAGAAGCCGGGTTCCGTCGTCTACGTCAACTACGGCAGCATCGCCAAGATGTCGGAGGGGCAGTTCCGGGAATTCGCCTGGGGGCTGGCCACTTGCGGGCATCCGTTTATATGGGTTGTCAGGACTGACGTCATGAGGGCGAACGCTGCCGTTTTGACGGAGGACTATTATAAGGAGATTGAGGACAGGGCGTTGATTGTGACTTGGTGCCAGCAGGAGCAAGTGCTGGCTCATGAAGGCGTGGGGCTGTTTTTCACTCACGCCGGCTGGAACTCGACGCTGGAGACGGTGATCGCTGGGAAGCCGGTGATCTGCTGGCCGTTTATCGCGGAGCAGTCGACGAATTCGAGGTACTTGTGTAAGGTTTGGGATGTGGGTGTGGAGGCTAGCCATCATGTTACGAGGGGGGAGATTGTGGAGCTGATTAAGGAGATGTTGGAGAGTGAGAGGGGGAAGGAGAGGCATAACAAGGCTTTGGAGTGGAAGGAGAAGGCTGTGGCTGCGGCGCAAGTTGGTGGGTCGTCGTACAAGGACTTCGATCGTTTGATTGCTGAGGTTTTTCGCCATTGATGATTGATCGATCGAAAAAATGATGGAGGGACTCGTATGTTGAGTTTTTTTTAATTCTGTTTTTTGTTTAAGTTAATTGCATCAGAATAAATGTGCCCTGTTGTTGAAATCTTCACTTTGACTAGTTGTGTACTTAATTGTTGATGACAATCACTTATGAGTCATCGTACAAGGATTTGTATGTGATGTTTTTTACTTTTTTTTTTTTTTTTTGTGACGGAATAAATGTTGCCTGCGGTTGGTATGAAGCTCCGCTTTGAACGGCTTGTTTACTCAACTACTTAATCACAAACTTACTTCACTTGTGGCTTCAAGTAAATGACACAGGTTCAACGTCTATGGTTTCACCAAAAGTCACTGACCATTTTTCACAGCGATAATTTCCTCTTCTCACTTGCAAATTGCAATCGACAGTTTGCCATGGCAAGTTGGCAACATATAGGTTATTTTTTGCTCTCCGATAAAAGAGGGCTCCAGAGCCCATTACCTCAGAGCATCAAGAGCATCATAAATGACAGAAGGTGGACGACAGTGCCATCCCATCCAGAAACAAACATGGGCCAAACAGTGGGCACACAATTCGTCTCTTCTGGAGCAAAAGCCCAATCATGAACCCGGCTTGTTTTGTAGGTGGACACGCAAAATTATCTGTTCACAAAATCTCCCTCATATAATATTGTAAGCTAAGCCCACACCATATACAAAATAAAAGGAAGGTGGCATGGCAGATTACAAGCATTTCTACTATGCTATATAGCATTGATGTTTTAAAGTACAACTTGAAGTTGTACCATAACATTAAATGTATAAGTTTAGATTGTATCATAAAGGAATTTGTATCATTATGTTATGGTACAATTTTACAACTTGAAATTGTACCATCACATAAGGTACAAATTTAAGTTGTATCATAAAAGAATTTGTACAAAAAGTATAGGTACAATATGAAGTTGTAACATAACGTTAAATGTACAATTTCAAGTTATACCATAAAGACAAAAACCAATGCTATATAGCATTGTAAAATTCCTCTACATGTCAAGCTTGGAGGAATCTGACGTTGCGATGTCAGCGACGCTAGTGCTTTGTCAGCACCGTTAAAATGGCATTTGTGAGGTTAGAACATAAGTGATGGATGGTGACTTTTTTTCTCAAGTTTAGTGGTGGTTTAGTTGAATTAAAAACGAGTTCGATAGTAAACTTGAATTAATAGAATAAGCACAATGACCAACTATACTTTTTACTCTTATTCAAATCATTGTCAAGAACCAGTTGCTTCCAATAACTCGAGTTGTTGGGAGAAGGTTCTGCTGGATCTTATACCACTCTCTAACATGCCCCCTCAAACGAAAGCCAACCCATGGGCTTGAAGTTTGCACAGGCCCACCATACCATGTGCTTGAAAGACAACGGTTAATATTGGGGGTCGTGAAGATTCGAACACATGACCTTTCGGTTCTAGGCTCTGATACCATGTCAAGAACCAGTTGATCCCAACAACTCAAGTTATTGGAAGCAACTGGTTCTTGACATGGTATCAGAGCCTTCTGTGGCCGAGAGGTCTTGTGTTCGATTCCCGGTGACCCCCATTTGTTAAGCACATGGTATTCTTGTCTTCAGACCTGTGCAAACTTCAAGCCCTTATGAGTGGCTTTCGTTTGAGGGGGCGTGTTAGTGTTGTGGTATATGATCCACGATTGAACCTATCCCAACAACTCGAGTTAGTGGGATCAACTGGTTCTTGACAATCACGAACAACAAAACATACTCCATATGTCGGAATCTCGACTAATAATATTTTCAACTTCGCCAAAATAGCTCTACCATTAGCACCCTGCACATTTTAACACGTCCCTTGTCGTCTGTCGATCACAAGTTGTGCATCATCCTAAATTCGAACCTCATCCAATCCCACTCGTTCACACCAGATAATTGTATCCTTTGATAAAAGGAGATCAATTCCGGCCAAATAACGCTCCACGCCATCACAATGGATAAGTACTTTTAATGAAACATTTCTATTTAAATTATACTGGTATACTATGCTCCTAGTACTTATAATGTGATGTTTCTATTTGAATCATAAATTAATTCGAGTTTGCAATATATAGAGGTGACAATTTGTGATTCAATCCAATCCATTTCATCCACTTAAAAAATTTAACTAATACAATCCATTCAAATCCAATCCATTAGATCCAAATTCAATTGTATTTGTGGAATCATGGATCATCAAGAAATTACAGTTTAGTACCTAAAATTTTAATATTTCACAATTTGGTACCTAAAATTTATTTTTTATACTAAATTTCATTGGAAAATTACATTTTGGTACCTAAAACTATTTTTATTATGACATTTTCGTACCTACACTTTTTAAAATTTACATATTGATCCAAGTTTTGGATGTCATTTGGATCTATGGATCAATCCACCAATCCATGTGCAATCCATGAATTCACAAATCCATTGATCCATGGATCTATCAATCCAATCCATCAATCCTTAGATCAAATCCATTAACAAACCTCTAGCTGTATGTACTATACACTAATTTCTAATGGATGAACCCTAGGTCTGAATTATCTAAATCCAAACTCCAAAATCAATTTATTAAAAAATAATCGTGATTATGTTTCGTCCATATATATTTTTCATGCAACATTTACAATTCTCACTATTTTATGTATTTCTCAAAAAGTGGTTATTATTGTCACAAGCATGAAAAGTTTTGACTATATATGTATTTTGACTTGATTTTATATTCGTGATAAAGGAGTCGAATCTTATTATAAGGGAGCTATTTTGTTGTGCAATTTACAAGTCAACATATAAAGGCTCCATGTTGTCAAATAAGAACCACAAACTGCTTTTAGCAACCCCTTTAATCACAAACTCGTAGTCTAATTTTTTAAGTATCACTACGGGAAAAGTGGCTTTTGGCAACACTTCAAATGTGTTGTAAAAAGTGGTTAAAGTGTTGCATATGCTATGCAACACTTTTACTAGTGTCTCCTAAAGGTGGTGTTGTATAAAGTAATAGGTAACACTTTTCTAACATTTTGCAACAAAAAAATATGTGTTGCATATATATATATATATAGTATATGCAACAACATTTTAGGTAACATTTTTTTAAGAGTATAACCAACATGCATATGTTTATTCGTGACGAATTTTTTGTGTCACATAAAATGTACTCAATCGTGATAACTTTCGCTTGTAACAAATGCTATATACTTGTGACGAGTTATTTCAATCACCAAATGTAATTTCAATTGTCACCAGTTTAACTTGTCACAAACGAGTCACGCTTCCGCGTGTACTTTTATAATCAAAAGAGGTTTTTGTGAGAGTAGCAGTGTCACAATTTCAAATTTTCGTGACAAAGTTTTCGTTTCTACTACAACAACATTGGTCACAAGTTTTTTTATAGCTCAATTATATACCTTAAATTATGGGGTCTTTGTCACAAAATAACACTTTTGTGACTACTATTTTTATCACATACGACAATATCAGTGACGAGTATACGTTATAAAAAACGATATACATTAGTGGTGATATTAAGCAAACCAAAAAACAATGAAATAATTAATAATAAAAGGAGGTGTGTGTATTTATAAATATAAAAGATAAATAGTGTGGCGAATATCCAATATCTCTAACAATATAAACTAAATAGTATCAAATAAACCAAAAAAAACTAGCTAAATTCTCTTAAGATCAATCGGCAACTTCATGGAGTTCTTTCTAAAAGTATCACTTCTCTTCTTCTCTTCCCGAAACTCTACTTGGACAAAGCCAATTGTCAACGGTTGATTTCCATACCGTATTCACTGCTACTCACTCAACTAAATTTGCAAGAACCTCTTAATGAAACTCTACCCACAGCTTCCTCTGCCCTTAACTCCTTGGTTTACTTCTTGAGTTGGATAGCTCACATGAATTGCTTCAAATTAACCTGCAAAGCACAGTATGGGAAAGCCCCAAAATAGATAATTGAAACAATAAGATAATCAACTAAAAAAAATACAAAGATCAATGGTCGTTTCTTAGTTTCTAGTGAAATATGAGATTTTGTTACCTAAAAATATAAATATTTAGCAACAAAAAAAAAATGAATAGAAAGCAGACGAAAGTGGTGTTCATTGGAGAAGCAGTAGCATGTAAGGAAGATGATAAAGGGGAGCTCACGCTAATTTACCCGAAGCGTTCAACAAGATTAGCTGCTTCTCCAACGCAAGAAGTGTTCATTGCAGCGGCCGGGATTCGGGAATCATGAGAGAAGAGGAGAAGCAGGGGAGATGGAGGGTGAAGAAGTTGAACCTGTAGGGTTTTTCGTCGTTATATGCACATTAAGATATTTAACAGAAAAATAAGGGATTAACTATAAGTACTTTCCTTTGTAAATATATTTGCCTAAGAGGGAATAATGTAGATAAAAATTCCTTCCCGTAGATAATGATCTCAAAAGATTCTCTATTTATAGTTAAAATAGTCTTCAGTTCTATTTTTCGTGTACAACTAATTAACACCATTTTCACTTTTTGTTTAGCCAACTAACACAATTTCTTTTACTTATCTTTATCTAAACAGGCAAAACAGCCTTTTACCAACGTATAATAGTGTAAAATATACTATAAACATAAAAAAATTGAGTATCACTTAAGTAAACCAACAATTTTTAGATCTAGTTAGGTTTTTTGTGACATAATTGTGACACGATATCAAATTTTTGCGACAAAGTTATTGTTGCGGTAATGTGGGCAACATACGTTGCAAACTATTCTTGTTATAATATTTTTGTCACAAAAGAATTTTTGTTATGACGTTTTGTCACCTATGATACAATATACGTGACAATAGTGCATCTGAAATAATAGTATATATTAGTGACAATATGATTTGTCATAAAAACTAATTTTGATTTTTCCGAATGGAGACTGATTCGACGACAATGAGGTTGCTTGATGGAACGAATGGAATTGAAGTAGAAATATTCCCCTATACTTTTTTCTTTGGGTCATTGGTTGTGCAAACTTCGTCTTTTTTAAAGTTCATTCATGATATACGAACTTCTTTTCACATTTTTATTAGGATTTTCTTCTTTTTACAATTATAGTGAAGCTCTATATAGTTCTAAATTCAAGTGTTAAATTATTGGCAAAAAAATTCACGTGTTAAATAATATTGGTTGGTATAATTTGTAACCTTTTGTAAACACATATATGGTAATGACTGGCGTACTTATGAAATATATCGTACTTCAAGTGTTCTAGTCATTGGATTATACTTCATTGTACATCGTCGCACACGTCAGTTATGTTAACATTAGGCTGATTAGGATTCCAA